TTTATTCAAAGATTGATGACTATGGGATACTCCAAAATATTAAGACACACGGTTCTATGGCAATATCATAATGTTACAATAACGTTAAAAGAACCTATTTAAGGGTGATCTTCCAAAATGGAAGGAGCATGGAGTTTAGCACAGTCATAACTCTCTAATGGAAAGACAATACAAAGTAGCAATACACAAATGGGGTGGAATCCCCTTTATGGTTTCTAACATCCTCTTGTGCTAAAACATTTTAAATATAGAAATCCTGGTTCAGAAGAACAAGTGCTTAAGATAAAATCTCTTTCATCACATTTTCTTAATTATTACAATTCATACTCATGATACATTTTGGTTCGATTGATCTCAATTTTCAAAGTAGTTAAAAACATGCTACTATAAAGGAAAATGTTATCTCATATATGGAAATCCTTTTTCATGACCATTGAGCCTAACGTGCCATGTAATAATCCTCATATGCTATTCTGCTATTCATAACATAATGAGAATACAATACATCACATTATCTCTTCATTTAGGAAAGCTCAAAATATCATCATTTAGGAAAGCTCAAAATATTGAAGCATGTAGCTTGAGACACCATAAGGACTAGTCAATACCAATGTCATATTCATGATACATCTCATGAGTTCTCAAGTCATAAAGCAACTCACAAATAATAAACATTTCACATATCTCATTATTTTCAAACAATCACAAGTACAATCCTTACACATGCCATATTTCTTGAATTAGCCATATCCATAGGATCGGTAATTTGAATCATAAATCTAGAATCAAATTACTTAAGCAAATGCCATATGTCTTAAGCTTATATAAGAGTGGACAAAAGCATTCGAAATCGAAATATGTAAGTATCGGCCTAATTCAAGTTTATAGCTTATGTGAAGAGTTCAAGCCTTCCAATTATTAAATTCATATAATAAACTAAGATATTCTACCAATAATTACTCATATGATATCATAAAATCAAAATGGTTGTTCTCTAAGAAATGAATTCTTAATATATTAAAATCATGTTCAAAGGTAGAAAGAAGTCGTACCTTATGGTCTTAAAGAGACCAAGTCATAATCTAACAATACCTTTGTCTTCAATCCATGATTTGGTTTCACCATTTCTTACTCTCTTTTGTAACTGTACTCATTGTCTCATCCATCCATTTGTGTCTTTAGTCTTGTTGTCAACTTCATCACACACTATCCGGGAATAGCTCGGATTTAGACCAAGACTCGAGCATCGGGTATTAAACCTCATACTCATGATTCGATGGGGGTTTATATAACCCTTCCATTGTTCTAAAACACCTTAAGAACTCACAAGGACTTTCAACAATTTATACTTCATAGTCGGATTACAAAAATGTAAAGTACCCATGCCCTTCTTACACATTGGATATAGCAAATACTGCTTTTTTAGTTTTTCAGGATGAGCACGATCCACCTCAATGGACATAATTTGTTTACACATCATTTAATCATGAGACTTGTTTTCAGATAAAATACACTCAAAATGAGGCAACTTTTATTTAGAAAGTAGCATTTAATAATGGTCCAAAGTGGATCAAATAACATGATTCTCAAAGGGCTAATTTCTACTCTGTGTAGCAGAAATTACAGTACGACACCCCTCTAATAATAACCATAACTTTCCAAATATGGGGAATTTTCCTATAAGCCCAAAAGTGCATTTAAACTAAACTCCTTTCCTCAAAAGTACAAAGTTGTCTTAACTCAATCCCATAAGTTTTAATTGATCAAAACCCCCCACAGAAAAAGGTATAAAGTTCCTGAAAACATATTTCTCAGGTTGGACACACTTTAATAAACATTCAATAATTTCCAAAATATACACAATATGGTCATAAGACATTTTTCATATGAAAGTACACCCAATAACACAAAGTACCACCAAATATCATTCTCTTATATAAATATTGAATTGCCCACCATTCTCTAACAAACAAACAACAGTTCTGAAAAATATTCAGTCACAGTTCTCATGCCAATGACTCTATCAATTCTCAAAATCAAAACATATACATCATGGCAAACATACAAGGAAGCAATGGTCCAAACCCCTTGCGCCCGGGCCAAGAAAGAGCCTTTTGAGGACATAATTTTGTCTCATTGTTTACGACACGGGTGATAATAATAACTCAAGGGGATCAATCCAATAGGAAGCAAATAATCATTTTTATTTCACTTACGGAAATCAATTCATAAAAGAGACATGTATCAAAATAGCCTATCAATGTTTGAGAGAGATACTACACAAAATAAAGGAGTTGTGGTAAAACTACACCATGTGGCCCATAAGGGACCACACGAACTTTTTAATATTCAGAAAGGAACTCAAGAGACTATTTTATATGCTCAAATATGATGAAATAAACATCTTATCAGTTGTATATTCTCAGTAAAAATTTCAGAAAAATAGGATCAAGACAATCAAGGTGAAACTACTCAAGATCATAGAGTAAGCAAAGCTAATCTACATATACCATGTATATGGACTACACTATTGCTTTGGAACTCTTCAAATATCAAGTTTTCATAACCAAAAATAAAGAAAACTACTGTAAATTAAGAATTGTAACAAGCTTTGATAATGCAAATGAGGTAGGAATTGAAATATAAGAAGACAAATCAATACTTTGGTGAAGTAATGGTATGGGCTTGATCACACATGAGGGACTACTCCATGAAAGGATTTGAAATGAAAGCTCAAGGAAGAAGATAGTTTCATGGGTGGCCACATTTTTTTCAAGAGGGCTCTCTCTCTCTTTTTGAAGTGAATACTCAAGTTAGGATTTTGAAATGATCTCATAAGTTATTTTTATCCTTAGATCATAGAGGTGGATTTGATCTTAAACCTTGATGCCTTAGATCAATTGCACATGAGGGGCACTCATCTATATCTTATCACCAAGATCAATGGATGAGCTTTTAATACCCTTTACTCCTTAAAACCTAGGTTTATTATAGTTATTTTACCTTAAAGCCATAAGCTCCATACATTATTTCCCATTAAGTCCAAATTCATGTTTACACTTATGCCCATGGTTTTTAAATAATTTGTGAGAGTCAATAAAAGACAAGGACATGGACATAAAGGTAATATGGGACATCCACACATGTGAATAAATATCTTATGACACCACTAATAGAATTTCAACAACACTAAAGTTTCATATGGGTCAAGCCCATAAGGTAGTGCCACATAAGATATACCCAGCCACATGCCATAAAATCATAAGTGGATAATAATATAAATCACATTAATTCTCAAAAGCCCATGACTTCACACATGCCAAAAATGACAGATGTGAGCAAAAAAAATGTGACTTAAATCAAACTTAAGTCATAAGAATGTATAACATTTTAAATAACAAGCTAACATGCTATAACATAATACCAACAAAAGAACTAATGACAAATAGGCCCCTACATGGATATGATATCAGCATGATGTCATCCACGAGTGAAGAGGTAGGGGTGTCATGTGGTATCCCTATGGCCACTTAGGATCCATGTGGTATGCCCATAGCATGTTCTTGTTTCGTATTTATGTCAAACAAATTTGAAAATCACATTTTTGATGATTTAAAAATTATGAAAAAAATTTCAAAAATCGCAAAAATTCCCCAAATGATTTTTCAATATTATTACACATTTTCTCATCAATATAAAATATTTTCTCAATAATTTTAGATTAATTTGAGCCAAAGGTAAATGAGATCTCTAAATGTATAACACTAATCGGAGTCTTCCATTAGGCTAACCCGAATGACGTTCCACCGGTGTCTCAAGCCGACCCAACGGACCTATACACCACAGTCTATGGCAGGGACACATCATTGGTCACATCAAAATCGTTGAGCAAGAGCTTAGTTCAATGGATTACTGGTGCACCCCTATGGGACATGTTCCTACTCAAATACAGGGGTCCTCTCAAAGAACACATGCACTAGCTCTTCTAAGTCGGATAATACTATAGAAAAGTGACCTTCCCATACGACTGTGGGTGCACATTCCATAGAATGGTCTCGTATCAGGATATGGGCTCATGTCCCCTGAGCCGGTCATTCCATGTAGGGCGAATACTCTATTAAATACTCGGGTTCTATTATTCTCGATTGAATTCTTTAAGCCCTGGCTTATCACATCAATTATGAGGGATTCTAATCAATATAGTCCTAACTGAGAGGTGACCCTCACACCTCCCCGAGAGTTCACACTCTCAAAATGCATGCTCTCAATGCCTCAAATACTAGGAGTATATGAATCTGAGCCCCAGTGCACCAAGTACCCAGATTCAGACTCTCTCTAACACCCATTGAGTGTAAGACTCTTGGCTTTAAGGCCTTGAAAGGTCACATAGCCAACAATTAATCTAGACATGGAGAGAGGTAAATGAGGAAGGCAAGGGAAGGCATTACTAAATCTTCCTAGATTATTATTTTCTTGTCATGAACATTGGTTGGTTGTGTAGAGTCGGAAGAATAGGGACTCACTTTTCCACATGGAACTATACTTGTATAACAATTTTCACAATGGAAGGAAAACGTAATCATTCTCATGAATTTAGTTATTATCTTACAATGGAATGAATGACGTATTTAACCAGGACTATCTTCATAATTCCTAACATGTATGCTCAATATAATAAAAGACTACCACACAAAAAAACAAACAAACAAACAAACGGGGGTTCGGGGGAAGGGAAAGTTGTCCATGACCCTTGAACTATCGAAAATTATTACCCATTAGAGTTATGATTGTTCAATGATATGATGGAAGGGGGTGGAGGGAGAGTGCGAACCAACATTGGATTCATGTTCTGCTCTGGTGCATCCCACTCTGCATGACTGTCCATCATTACATTGATCGATCCATATCCCAATGAATTATGAGTTTTATTGTGCATTGGACTATGATACATGTTACCATACATATTATGTAATTATTCCACATACAAAATTGACATGTACCTTACGCTTGGATAGGGTTATGGATGGGAGAGGTTGTGGGGTAGCTGAACTGAACCAGTCAGGTTGGCTGTTACCATGACGCCTCAACCAATTACGAAATGCCAAAACAAAGCGATCTGCTCTTGTGGGTGTGAAGGTGATCGTTGTGTATTGCTGGTTAACATCAGCAGAAGACTCCAAGGATTTGGAGAGGAATGTCTTCTCCTGGCCTTGAAGGACAATCATGTCACCATCGTAAACTTTGTTTGAGGTCCAATGCTCATGCCATCTAGGAACCAGCTGCATAGGAAGGACAATAATATTACCATCTGAACTCAATGTAAAGGAAGAATTTATTGGGATAAGAATTCACAGGGGAAGCTTTAGTAAGCCACTCTTTATTGAAGGCGATTTTCTTAATGCTGTCAGATTTTCTAGGTAGGATCCTAGTTCCTGATATATTTAAGGTAACCATAGATCTGCTACTAGAGGTTAGTGTGTGCAGATCAAGACTGTTCTATAGGAGTCTAATATAAAATTGAATGAACTATACAATTTCATGAGATTCATGTGCCCTACAAGCAGGTTTTGATGTCGATAAATCTTAGTTTTGGGCATCGAATAATAAAACAGCTGCATAAATACCTATCTTTGGGTCTTCTTTCTAAATCTTTAAAAATAAGAAAAAACCATATTAGGTAACGAATGTCATGCATTAACAAACTATATCAAAAGAATTAGCTTCCAATTTCGCTGATATCTAACAAATACAAAAGCCATGTAATGAAAGGCGTGAGTTTTTTATTAGTTTCTGTTGTATTTTTTTTTTTCTTTGGGCAGGTCATGACCGTTTGAGTTGAAAAAGTCTATGCAAAAATCAGCATAAGAATTCCATGACTCATAGTTCTGTGAAAATGAAAATATGCTATGTAGTGAATGGTGAATCGATAAAGTAGATTAAAAAAGTGTGTGCATTTCAAGTTTCATTGCTAACTTCAAACTGCATTCAGTTTTGTTTTCCTCACCTGCCACCAAGCAGGGCCAGGCATTGTGAAGCGGAAGAAATTGCGAGCACTGCACACAATTGAACGAGTCTTCCCAGGAGCCATGGGTATGTTAAAGGAGCATATCCATATCTTCCATTTTTGGGGGCCGAGAAGAGGGAGAGACGTGTCTATCTCTATCCTAGCAATTAGGAAAACATCAAATTAACAATAAATGTCCATGCCATTGTTTTCATCAGAAAAATAGACAGAGTAACCAATTTCATCAACAGTAAGGAAATGGATGCATTTCAGAATTTCATGAGATGCACTTGAGTCAAACTGCAACAACAGATATATTCACATTATAAGGAAAGAATACATTGCAACCAATGGTACCATTTTCAAGTGACAATGTGGGGAAGTCATAATATACTTATTTCTAATGTCCTTTCCCTACTTACATCTCTTCTTTTCTGTTCCTTCGTTGGACCTTTTCATAAAACTAAAACCATATATTAAATAAAATGTAATTATATTATGATTCATTTGAGATAAAATAAGAGGATCCAATTTTAACATCTCTGAGAATTTTATTTGTGTATTGAACACATGATGCTTAGGTTCTGTACTTTCTTGAGAATTTTCAGAAAGGATGACCTCTTTAGTTTTGAGCAATCAATCAGTGTTGTTGTCCTTTATTTGGGATTAAGTTTCTTTGGGTAGGCAATGAAAGAGTCATGATACAGAGAAGAATTTTTGTGTGTTTCTGTATGCTTGACGGGTGGTCTGTTTCTTAGAAGTACCCTGTTAAGTCGCAATCTATCCTTGATTCCAATTAACATTAGCATTACTACCTGCTGATGAAATGATTTAACCATTAAGTGGACATCATGAAATGTAATTTTCCTGTATTGAACTATAAGATAAGGGGGGATGAATGTATAAAATTCTCTACAATGGGGTGAATCTATAAAATTTTCTACATGACAGCTCTATTCTCTTCAATGCTTCCCTATTTTTTTTAATTTCATCAATATGCTATGTGGATCTTTCAATTGTCTCAACGAGTGGCTGGTAATTTTCTTCATCGAAGCGAACATTCATAAAAACAAATATCGGATTATGTCTACTGAGCAATTTCATCTCATGGGGAAAAAAATTATTCAATTGAAATTTGGACAAGGCTAATTATCCTGAAATGGAAATCACAAATTAGTGCTACCAGGATCAGTATCGAATCAGATCCGGGGACATGACAAGCAGAAAGCTCCCTATGACAGGGACAGCAGTCCATACACCTGAAATCTAGGGATCTCGATCTCAATACGTGGGGAGCTTGATCCGGACCTAATTAGGATATAATGATATATACAAGAACGAGCTCCATTTGGTTCAAAATTGAGGGCTTGGAAAGCACTTATACTACTACATATACCTCATTGTTATACAATAGCATACAACTATACTATACTACAATATGTTGCAATATACTATTTTACTACTCTATGCCATATGGTACCATTTAAATATATTATATAATATGTAGTATACTACATGGTGCATACTACTATACTATACCACACTGATAGACTGTACTGAGCTACTATATTGTACTATTATACTCTAGGACATTTCTATACTATAATATATTACCAAGCTATGCTAAAGGCTCGGGAATCTGGACCCCATGCAATGCAGAACCTTGATCTCTAATAGGAAGAATCGATACTCCCATATTTAAGAATCGCGGAGGAGTGAGTTCCCTTTACCTGGAGAACAGGATCGGGATCCTAGAGAGGATTCCACCCAGGTGGATCCCAATAACTGTCATAAATTCAATAACTAAATCCTGGATTCCCTCAAGATAGCATTGTGATTCCTTGAAGATTCAACTTGGCAATAAAGGAACCAAAATATTTTAACAGAAAGTGATTCCTCGTGGATTTCCTCCTAATGACTTGGGCCTCTTTCTTTTTTCTCTTTTAAACTGTAAAATTAAGGATCGTACAAAAACTTATGTTTCTCTTACACTATTAAGTAAAAGAAAATGCAATATTGCAACCCCTAGTTACAGACAATAAAACATAAAATGCCAGTTGTTACCTTCTACCAAACAAATATTGTAGCCAAAGTCAACTAGTTGAAGTCCACTTAGAACAAATTCCATGAAATCTATTTTCCAACGCCATACTTAAGTTTGGAAATTTAAAGGAAGAGATATTGAAAGGGTCTCACTTATTCATGTAGTAGCAAGGTGCAATGAATGTGGCACTAATTTGAGGGCTCCCAACATTTGATCCTGCAAAGCCCCAAACGCCACTAGATTCCACCTTGAAAGGTAGTGACTTAGCTCGATCTCTTCTTCCTGTGACCTGTAACAGAAAGAGTCAAGTTTGGTATATCAAAATAGTAATTATAGCACCTATTCATTCCATAGAAAAGTAACACTCGGATGGAACACGAACAGCACAGAATGCCGCAAAAACTATATCATATGTCAATTGATGAAGTGCAATTTTTCTGAACAAAGAAGTGGTAGAATTAATGCACAAGCAACAACTTATATGCTAGCAGCAAGACAAGACAGTTGTTCCAAACTTCCCCATTGATTCGGAGCTTCAAATATAGAACTTTTATAAAAAGTCATTTTAAGTTAAGAAGCCACTAGAACAATAACCAAATAAATCTCAAAGAGCAATCACAGGCCAAAGATTCTTAAAAGATATAGTTTCATTCTATGCAAAAGAGTGTGCATGCTGAAAGATCACGTGCAATATAGAAACAACATTGCTGCCATTGTCTTGTAACATTCCATCCTTCTTGCTCCTAGATTGGCAATGAAAAAGTAGGTCACATTATACAAAAATTCATGTTTCTTTGACGTCAATATAATTGAAAAGTAACAAGTATGGCACACAACCAAATATACCTTGTGGTGCGCAAAATCTATATGGGAGGGGTCTGCCACATTTTCCATCAATGTGTCATAACCATAGAATAGATCCCGTTGTATTGTCACAGATGAAAACCCAGGATCATCAAAATCATCTGGTAACCTGAGAAAGATAGCTTGTCACAAAGAAAGTTTGGTAACCAAATTAACCAAAGCTCAGAAACAATGAAGAACAATAATCTAATAAGGAAAAGCATACTATAGTCCAATGGACAATAGCATATAACTCCAAGCGAAATCCATAGTCTGCTCCAACAATGGATGGTTGGAGATCAAATCTACTCATTTGAATGTGGGCCCTCGTCCATTTGATCACCAACCTGCTGGTGGCATAAAACCAATACGCTAGAAATGCATTCTTTTAAAAAATTTCCATTGTATAAAAACTCAAGGGTTTAAATGCATGAATATCTCAATACAAAACCATATTACATATATTACAGCCTACAAATATGGTTTATATACATTTGAATAATAAAATTCAATCCTAATAGGTCCCTTACAAATCCCTTACTCAAAAAATACAATTAAACTCAATACAATATTCAAATATTCACAATGTACATCTCTACAACATTTTGCATGACTTGCACTCGCAATTCCTCATTATATGATAATTCCATATTCATTTTTCATCCTCATCATATATCACAATGTTTCATACACATCATACACTTGATCATAATAATCCAATAAGATTTCAACTCGCATAAACAATAATGCATAGCATTAAAGCTCATACCGCAAGAATAAAGAACAATCTCAATATTCACACAACATACTCAATTTAACCAATCATGAATCCATTTAATAATTGTAAATACATCAAATTAACATGCAAACATACATGGGGAAACCATGGTTCAAACCCCTTGTGCCCGGGCCACGAAAGGGCCTTTTGAGGACTTAATTTTACCCCATTGTCTAAGGCACGGGTGATAATAATAACTCAAGGAGATCAATCCAATGGGAAGCAAATGATCGCTTTTATTTCACTTAATGGGGATCAAATTATTAGAGACATGTATCAAAATAGCCCTTCAAAATTTGGGAAAGATACTATACAAAATAAAGAAGTTATGGTGAAACTACACCATGAGGTCCATAAGGGACCACACGAACTTTTCAACATTCAAAAAGGAACTCAAGAGACTATTTCATATGCTCAAATATGATGAAATAAACCTCTCATCAGTTGTATATTCTCAGTAAAACTTCCAGAAAAATAAGATGAAGAAAATCAAGTTGAAACTACTCAAGATCATGGAGTAAGCAAGCTAGTCTGCACATGTTATGTGTATGGACTATACTATTGCTTTGGGACTCTTCAAATATCAAGTTTTCATTACAAAAAATGAAGAAAGCTACTGTAAATTACGAATTACAACAAGCTTTGATAATGAAAATGAGGTAGGAATTAAAAATATTGAAAGAAAAATCAATACCTTAATGAAGCAATAGTATGGTTTGATCACATAAATGAAGTACTACTCCATGGAAGAGTTTCAAATGAAAGCTCAAAGAAGAAGATAGTCTCATGGGTAGCCACATTTTTGTCAAGGGAGCTCTCTCATTCTTTGAAGTGAATACTCAAATTAGGGTTATAATTGATCCCATAAGTTACTTTTATACTTAGATCATAAAGATGGATTTGATCTTGATCCCTGATGCCTTAGATCAATGGCACATGAGAGGCGTTTATCCAAGCCACTCTTCCATATCTTATCACCAAGATCAATGGATGACGTTTTGACACCCTTCACTCCTTAAAACCTAGGTTTATAGTCATTTTACCTTGAAACCCCTAGCTCCATGGACATAAGGATAATATGGGACATCTATATATGTGGATAAATATCTTATGACACCACCAATAGGATTTTAACAATACTAAAGTTTCACATAGGTCAAGCCCATAAAGTGGTGCCACATAAGATATACCCACATGCTATAAAATCATATATGGATAATAATATTAATCAAACTAATTCTCAAAATCTCATGACTTCACACATGCCAAAAATGACACATATGAGGAAAAAAAAAACATGTGACTTACATCAGACTTAAGTCATAACAATATATAACACTTTAAATAACAAGATAACATGTTATAACATAATACCAACAAAAGAATTAATGACAAATAGATCTCCACATGGATATGACGTCTGCATGATGTCATCTATGAGTGGGGAGGTGGGGGTGCCACGTGGCATCCCTATGGTCACCTGGGATCCATGTGGCATCCCCATAGGATGTCCTTGTATGGTATTTATGTCAAACAAATTTGACAATCACATTTTTTATTGTTTAAAAAATGTGAAAAATTCTCCAAACGATTATCTCAACATTATTGCACAATTTCTGATCAATATAAAATCTTTTCTCATCATTTTTAGATTAATTTGAACCAAAGGTAACTGAGATCACTATATTTATAATACTAGTCAGAGTCTTTCATTGAGTTAACCCGAATGACATTCCACTGGTGTCTCAAGCCGACCCAATGGACCTATGCTCCACAGTCTATGGCAGTGACACATAATCGGTCACATCAAAGTCGCTGAGCCAGAGCTTCCGGTCACCAGGGGTTTAATAGATTACTGGTGCACCCCTATGGGACATATTCCTACTCAAATACAAGGGTCCTATCAAAACACACGTGCACTAGTTCTTCTAAGTCGGATAATACTATAAAAGAGTGGCTTCCCCATACAACTGTAGGTGCACATGCTATGGAACAGTCTCGTGTCAAGATACGGGCTCATGTCGCATGAGCCGACCATTCCATACAGGGTGAATACTCTTTTAAATACCCGAGTTCTATTATTCTCGATTGGATTCTCCAAACCCTGGCTTATCACAACAACTATGAGGCATTCTAATCAATGTAGTCCTGACTGGGAGGTAACCCTCACACCTCCTCGAGAGTTCACACCCTCAAAACATATACTCTCAATGCCTCAAATACTTGGGGTATATGAATCTGGGCCTCAGTGCGCCAAGCACCCAGATTCAGTCTCTCTCTAACTCCCACTGAGCGTAAGACTCTAAGCTTTAAGGTCTTGAAATGACACATGGCCAACACAACCATAATGGGAACAAATGTTGAATGTAGCCTTCAAGTACCATTATACCATAGCTCATTGTACTATGTTATACTTTCCCATTTAGTAAAACCAGGACAGGATCACACCAATATATGTTGCCTATGTGGCCCTTCAAGGCCTTAAAGCCAAGAGTCTTTTGCTAAGTAGGAGTAAGAGAGACTGAATCTGGGTGCTTGACGCACTGGGGCCCAGATTCATATACCTCGAGTATTTGAAGCATTGAGAGTATGCATTTAGAGAATGTGAACGCTCGGAAAGGTGTAAGGGTTACCTCTCAGTCAGAACTATATTGATTAGAATGCATCATAGTTGATGTGATAAGTCAAGACTTAGAGAATCCAATCAAGAATAATAGAACCCTAGTATTTAAAAGTGTATTCGTCCTATATGGAATGGTCAACTCATGGGACATGAGCCCGTAGCCTAACACAAGACTGTTTCATGGCATATGCACCTACAGTCATATGGGGAAGACTTAGAAGAGCTAGTTCACATGTGCTTTGAGAGGACCCCTGTATTTGAGTAGGAACTTATCCCATAAGGGTGCACCAGTAATCCATTAAACCCTAGTGACGGGAAGCTTTGGCTCAGAGACTTTGATGTGACCAATTATGTGACCCTGCCATAGAATGTGAAGCATAAGTCTGTTGGGTAGGCGTGAGGCACCGGTGGAAAGTCATTCAAGTTATCCCAATCGACGACTCTGACTAGTGTTATATGTCGAGAGATCTCATTTACCTTTGACTTAGATTAATCTAAAATTGATGAGAAAATATTTTATATTAATAAGAATCTGTAATGATGTTGAAAAATCATTTGGAGAATTTTTGGGATTTTTTGAGAATGTTTCAGGATTTTTAAAACACCAAAAATTGTTTTTTTTTTAAAATTGTTTGGCCAAAATGACGATCAACGACAAGCCATGGGGAAGCCAGATGGGTCCCAAGTGACCATAGGGAGGCCACGTGGCACCCCCACACCCCCTTGGGCACTGACGTCGTGCTGACATCATGCCCATGCATGGGGGGCATTGTTGCTTTTTGTTATTTAGATATATTATGTTTATTTAAAACATTATGTTTTATAATGTTGTGACTTAAGTGAGTTATTTTGTCACATGGTGTTTTGTTCACACATGTGGTTTATTTGGCATGTGTGAAGTCCTGGGATTTTGAGAATTAATTTTATTTATAATATTATCCACATATGATTTTGTGGCATGTGGGTATATCGTATGTGACACTACCTTATGGGCTTAACCCATGTGAAACTTTAGTGCTGTTGAAATGCTATTAGTGGTGTCATAAGATATTTTATTCATATATGTTGATGTCCTATTTTACCTTTATGTCCATGTCCTTGGCTTTGATTGACTCTCACAAATTATTTAAAAACCGTTGACACAAGTGTAAACATGAATTTAGAATTAATGGGAGGTAAAACATGGATCTAAGGGCTCTAAAGTAAAATGACTATAACCTAGGTTTTAAGGAGTGAAGGGTGTTAAAAGCTCATCCATTGATCTTGGTGATAAGATATAGATGAGTAGCTTGGATAAAAGCCTCTCATGTGCCATCGATCTAAGGCATCAAGGATCAAAATCAAATCCACCTTTATGATCTAAGTATAAAAGTAACCTCATGGGATCAATTATAACTCTAACTTGTGTATTTACTTCAAAGAGAGAGAGAGAGCCCCTTTGACGAAAAAGTGGCCACCCATGAGACTATCTTCTTCCTTGAGCTTTCATTTGAAACCCTTCTATGAAATAGTCCCTCATGTATGTGATCAAGCTCATACTATTGCTTCACTAAGGTATTGATTTTTCTTTTTGATATTTCAATTCCTACCTCACTTCCATTATCAAAGCTTGCTGTAATTATTAATTTACAGTAGCTTTCTTCATATTTGGTAATGAAAACTTGATATTTGAAGAGTCCCAAAGAAATAGTGTAGTCCATACACATGGTTTGTGTAGACTAGCTTGCTTACTTTATGATCTTGAGTAGTTTCACCATGATTTTCTTAATCTTATTTTTTTGAAATTTTTACTGAGAATTTACAACTGATGAAGGGTTTATTTCATCATATTTGAGCATATGAAATAGTCCCTTGAGTTCTTTTTTTAATGTTGAAAAGTTCGTGTGGACCACGTGGTGTAGTTTCACCATAACTTCCTTATTTTGTGTAGTATCTCTCTCCAACTCCTTGTTTTGATACATGTCTCTCTCATGATTTGATCCCTATTAAGTGAAACAAAAGTGATCATTTGCTTCCTATTGGATTGATATCCTTGAGTTATTATTATACCCATGTCTTAGACAATGGGACAAAATTAAGTCCTCAAAAGGCCCTTTCGTAGCTCGGGCACAAGGGGTTCAAACCATGGATTCCCCCATATATGTTTGCATGCTAATTTGATATATTTACAGTTATTTAGTGATTCATGATTGATAGAATTGAATATGTTATGTAAATATTGAGATTGTTCTTTAATTTTGTGGTATGAGCTTTAATGATATGCTTTATTGTTTATGTGAATTGAAATCGTATTGGATTATTATGATCATGTGTATGTGATATTGTAACACATAATGAAGAATGAACATAGAATTGTTATGTAATTTTGATATAATGAGGAATTTTGAGTACAAGTCATGTAATATATCATAGAGATGTACATTGTGAGTATTTGGACATTGTATTGAGTTTAATTGTATTTTTGAGTAAAGGATTTGTAAGGGAGCAATTAGGGTTGGATTTTTATTATTCAATGTGCATAAACCATGTTTGTAGGTTGAACTATATGAGATATTCGTGCATTTAAACACTTGATTTTTAATACAATGGAAATTTTAAAACATTGTGTATCTAGCCCCTTGGTCTTATACCAGCAACAATATAAAACATCGAAACTTTACCTTGGAGGTTCGGTCTTGGATGATTTCTCCCATCCATTCTCATCGGGCCACACAAATAGAAGACCCTGAGATACAAGAGTTGGAAAGCGGGCTACACAAGCTTTGGGAGATTGGAGTGCACGAGCCTCAGGGCCCTCTAGGGAAGCTTGAGGGATACGAGCACAAGACCCATCCGATCTAAAAGACCAGCCATGATATGAACATTGAAGCCAGCCATCCTCGTCCACCCTGCCTTCCTGCAATCACCAAGAAAAGAGAACTACTACTCAGAGACCACAATGAACCCATGGAACCAAAAACAAGCGCTTCGTACGGTCTCTAGGCAGAGGTGGTTAAGGTGTGGGTGCCACAACGTGATGACTAGAGATCCAATCCCACCAGCCCCCAAGTTAACATTCAAATAGAAAAAGGAAGCGCAATCATGAAAAGTATTGTCTAGAATTAAACCATTAAATGACCTTCTCTCACAAGGTCTTCCATCATTTAAGAGAATCAATGCAGATGGAAGAATATAATTAAGCTAGGTGGTTTGCCACTCCATCCATGTACAGCTTCATCAATGCCTACGAGATAGAGGGGTAGACTATAGTTTGAACCCTATTTCAAGTTGAAAAGGGAAATTTGCAAAACAAATGTGCAGTCCTAGAAGATTACATTGAATGAAAACAAGATTTTTAGTTCCCACAGGACTAAACATTTGCTTTTGCTGAAACCAAGGTCCTATTGAAATCATATGAAAATACACATTATAAAATGGAGTTTGATTTCATATAATTATGTATAAGGACAATCCTATCCATAACTCCACGCCCTCATCCTTATAACCAGTTGTTCGAACCTCCAGGGTCGAAACTTTTGTTTCTTTTGTTTATTCAATTTAAGGTCTCTGACTTTCAGAATTTCAATAAAGAGAATGTATGATGTTTGATGAAGTGTATCTCAACAGTTAAGATATCTATGATTTCATTGCATCTTTTGAAAGGAAATACAATTGAAAAAAGTTTCTACATTGATACAATGCACTAGAATCTATTTCATTGCATGCAGATGCGTGCACATGTAAGGTACTGCATTGAATTTATTTCCAATATGAAGTATTAAAAATAAAATTGGTATCAGTTCTACATATGATGATCCAATGGAACATTATCCACAATCAATTAAATTCATGAATTGAAATATAGATATAACTTAACTTAACAGGCCCAATTTATTTCGAAATTTGTTCCATATGATTTAGTGCAATAAATGATGCGATTTTAGTGCTAAGTCATTAAACAATTAAAGAACAAGTTCCATCTGAGTTTACCTTGATTTTAACTTCAGATAATTGTGTAAAACAAACCCAAATGTTTTCCTTATATTAATTCATCTAAATGGAGAGAAAAATCAACCAAAAGCAATGACTAATAGAATTGAATTCCCATTGACAACATATTTACAGGGACCACATCTCAAATTGGCATCATTTCGTAGAAAACTTTGGCTGAATCCAAGAAACTTGAAACCCAACTTCATTTTATATTATAAGTCGCATGCCACAACTTCAAACGATTGAACATGCATACCTAACAAATTACATTATGGAATGCCATCCAATTTACACCAATTATTCCTTCACAGAATCCATCCAAGGCATTCACAAAAGTCATATTCTTGAATGTAGAGAAAAATATGAATTTAACAACAATAAAAGCAATTTATTTATAATTCAGTATTCTAAATTCTGAAAAATTGTGAAACAAATTTTTGAATCCACATAATCACATGGATTCAACCATTGTTTAAAAACTCAGACTGGTGGATCAAAGAGGTCACCTACCAGCCCAAATCAAACCAGTCAAGTCCGCAAGTCAGCTAGGCCAACTCGGCCAGAGTAAAATAAGAAAAAAAGCAAAAAAATTTTTAAAGAGTTCAATATTTTTAAACAAGGTTTAGGACTTCAAATGTTCTTAATAAATACTTGTTTTCAATTAATAGAGCTTATTTTAATGGTGTTGATACACCTCTAGGTCCAAAGCCAATTCAGGGAGAGACTAGGACCAGGCTACTGGCTGAACGGTTCCGAGTATTTTTTAAACACTGGATTTAACAGCAACGAATCAATTATGTACAATCTAGCAAGTCTAAATGCCATCTTCGATCCAAAACCATTTATCAGATAAAAGAGAAAATAGAGATATGAGGATGAAGAGAAGGGACAGAGACAAACCGAAAGGGGAGCGAGGCGGTGAGGGCAGCGATCATCAAAGGCAACCCAATTTCCCTGTCTGTTTTTCCACAAAACCATCTCTCTGCCCAATAGCTGAAATGGGGTGGGGACTTTGGGGTCGAGGTCTTCAATCAATGACACAGGATACCAATTCTCTCTCCAGACAAACTTTTCACCCATGATCTCCTCTGATTTCAATGCTTCCTCTCTTTCTCTCACCGCCTCTTCTTTTCCCTCTTCTCCTTTGACAAGTGGGGGATGAGAAGAAGCAGACAAAGCACTTGCAGGCTGGGAACCCATGATACATAATGGGTTTATAAAGCTTCTTGCTCTCTTATTATTCCTAATTACAGCAGAGTTTCTTCTCTTGGGTTTGTAGAGAAACTGGTGAGAGAAGCGGAGATTAATTGAACTGGGGACTGATGCCATGGCTGCTGTTTCCTTTCTCTAAGAACTCCTAAAACTGCTCTCTTTTTTTATCAGTAAAACGTTTTTCTTTTGGGTATTTTCGCTCTCTCAAAGTGGTACTCTGCTTTCTACTGCAACTGCTTGTTGCTCCTCTGCCTCTTGTTGCCGTCTCTCTCTCTCTCTAACTTTTCTTCTTATGACTGCAACGATAGCTTCTTGCCATTTCTCGTACGCCGCCTTCTTGAATCCTCTCTCTCTGCTCTGCCTCCTTGAATCCTCTCTCTCTTCTGTCTCTCTCTAAAACAACGGCTAGCTGTTACGTGAAGTAATGAGTTTGGCCCGGTTCTATGCGCGCATATGTAGTAATGCGGGCCTTTTAATAAATATCTTTTTGAGATGGACTTTGGATTTAATTTTTAAGGATTTAATCCGGAATATAGAAAATAAATAAATTTAAAAAATTATAAATAATTACTTTAGTAAAAAAATATTTGGATAGTTACTTTTCATTGTTTTTAGATGAAACACCTACATGCATCTATCTTTAAGATGAATGCTTTACACTTTTTTGACCTCATATATAGTCATTTGGTCCAGCCCGTATGGAACAATTTTCCAGTGAAGGTTTGGATTGCTTGGAATTTTGTAGATTTTTCTCATAACATGTACCTGTTGTTCTTTGTGAATTGCAAATGAGAACAAGAAATTCTGAAAAATCTAGCTCCGGTTTTTGGTGCTTGTATTTTCCATGGTTAATCAAGGTGCCACGTGCCACGTATTGCTCTCTTGTCCACTAAAATGTCAGCTATTACCAAGGGAAAAATGTATAATTCAAACAAGGTGGGGGTTCTATAAGACGGCCTTGTTCTTTACGGTAGAAGTAAGGTTTGGCTTCTAAAATTTATGGATTGTCTATAGATAGCTCATTTATTTTTTATATATAGAGCTCACAATCATTTTTGTCTTTTAAATTTTAAAATGGATGGTAATAAGAGTGTCATTGAATAGACGCAAAGTTCTAAAAACAAAAAAAAATCTCGAACTTCATGACTCACCTTAAGCTATTCAATTTGACATCTAATGAGTGATAACGACTGTGACTTCCGTGTACAAAAGATAAATGATCTCTATGTAGACGAATTTCAAAATTTATTTGGAGACGTAGTTTTGTTCTTAGAAATCCTATGATGATTTGATAATCAATTTTTACCCTTAATTTTGAAATTTAAAATTTTAAAAATACTACAAGTCGAACAAATCTATAGACACTTGAAAATCTTAAAAATAAACGGTGTAGATAACTTGTTATATGATGTACTTTTTCTGGAACTTGAAATTCGTTTTTTCTTTATAACCCGTACATCTCAAGATCTAGATCAATTGGGGGGCTCTCCAATATCGGAACACTCTTTGAGATGATCTCTAAGGTGTAACTTAGTTCAATAGTATAAAAGTTGTAATTTTATATAAACACTTTCTTTAAAACAATAAAGACTATTTGTCTTGTAAGATTATCAATGGGGCAAGTCCCCGCTCAGTCCCATCAGCCCAACCTTGACAAACTAGGGGTTGTGCCACAAAATATAGGCCGAGAGCTAGTCCATTACGGGGCTTGGGCGAGCGCCATGGCTGGTCTAGCTTGACCTAAGGTTTTTTCTCATTTTTTTATTTTTTATTTTTTATTTTCTTGTCTTTTATAATCTCTAAACCTGGCAAAGCCTAAAACATGCCAAGCCTGAGCCTAAGGAGTGCCCCTTGTGCCTCATCTAGGTCAAGCCAACACTATAGGGACCTGGGCCAGGCTTGGGCCAAGACGGATGCAGCCAACTCCGCTAGTTGCAAAACCCTAACCATCATTGGCCGTTGGATGTGAAATGGAACGGCGAAAGTAGTATGCTTTAAAGCTCAAAAGAAATCTTTTGGAAAATTTATGTGAATATTCCCCCCATAAAAAAATTCTTGCCCCAAATTTTATTATTAATTTCATAACTACTTTTTTTATTTTCGTATTTTTCCAAATTGTTCCTACCTTGGACTTTAGTCCAGGACAACTTCAAGTTGAGGTTTCGAACAGCTTCGGACCTTGAATATCTCAAGTTATCTAAAACCTAAACTTCGGATCTCATTGGAGAGGTAGTGGTCATTAACATAATTAGCACCTTCAAAGTCCTAAGTAGTGCAATTTGGAAAAATAGGTTTCTTTTCTTCATGTACATCGCGGGTCCAACTTTGATACAGATCTCCTGGCTAAAACAGCTGCTGCTACTTTCTGTTTTCCTTTCTTTCTATTCATTTTCTCTTTTTTCTTTTCTTTTCTTCTTGCAACCTTTAATTGCCTTAATTATTCATTAAAAAAAAAACAATTTAAAAATAAAAATAGAAAAGATAAGTATGAATGTAAAAACGAATTTTGGAGAGAGATATACTTTAAAAGGTAATTCATAGGGGAATTAATTTAAAATTTTCAAGAATTTTTTGAAATAAAGTTATGAATTTTACATGTGACAGCCACGAGTCATTCTAACAATCTTTCACCAAAGATATTGCAGTAGACAATTTCCATTTCTTGTATAGAGCCTAGGCTCTAAACAATCAAATTGGAGGTTACTTTCAAATAGTATCGAGAAATGTGGTTTCAATATTGAAAATCTTTGTGATAGCCTTAAAATATATTTTCATATGTATTTATAAAGTTTAAAGCTTCAACAATTGTGTAGATCAACATATCTACGAGAAATTGAAAATCTTGAAAATTGACGGTATAAAAATACGTTACAAAATACACTATTTTCAAAACTTGCAATCCATTTTTTTCTCTTGTACATGCATCTTGATGTCGAGATGATCAATTTGAAGATATTTGAGCATCAAAATAATCTCTTCTAGATAGGCTCAAATTTGATTATTTAAAGCCTGGGCTCTATATAAACTTTTCCCTTCTAAAATACCATCCCTGCCCCGAAAAGGACCTCAGGACATAAGTGCATGCATTTAGATGGATGGCCTTAAATTTGTCCAAAATCTGGTAAGACAACATACAATTGTCTTCTATAGCGGCTCGAAAATTGTCATCATGTTGTTTGGCTTTCCCATCCAAACATGCCATTTGACTTATGGGAGGCATCCTCAAGGGAGTGAAAACCAGCGGCTCTAATGGATTTTGTAAGACTTTTTGAGTGCTCAAATAATGTTTGGGATTGAGGTTTTCTACAAGATGTCATTTATTGTTCCTTAATGTCTTTGGGTCCCTTCCATTCCTACCATTGAACTAACCAAAACATAAAAAAAAAAAAAATAATAAATAAAAAATAAAAATAAAAAATAAAAAATAAAAAATAAAAAAAAATAAAAAAAGAGAGAAGAAGAAAATAATGTCTCCCTATCCCTAGGCTTTGCAAATAAAAGATTAAAAGGATAGTTGACTAACCTTGATCCCGAGTGAATGACTTTCATGTTTTGGAAAAGCTTGAGTGCACGTAAGAGCTCAATAAATTATTTTGAAAATAATTCGAAACCACTTCGAAAAATCTTTAGATAATAATTTGTGATTAGTAGTTAAAATTTTCTTTATTAGGTGCATCTTCGACATTTTTTTTTTAAGAATTACTCAAATTTCCCTTATTGGTAACCCCAAGGGAATTTTCATAATTTAACTTGAAGCCATTTGAGACAACTCACTTTGGTAACTCTACTTGTCTTGGAGGTCAAACTTGAGATATGTTTTCGTTTTTAAAAAAAAATCATACTAGTAATTTGGAACTTGTAATATGAGGGGACATTTTGGTAATTTAGTCCCACTTAAATCACTTAACGCAAAAGACGTAATATCTCTATTTGTTCAAGGTCCCAAATCTTATAAAAAAAAAAGTCACTTCAAAGCTTACAATAAGGGATGGCATCTGACACAAGTGAAAATTCACCAGTAGCAGACAACTGGCACACAGCATTTTAGAGAGAAACAAAAACTTAGAAGAAAATTATAAGAAGAAACATAAACATGGGGATTCGAAACCTCCACCACACACCATCAACAAGAGAAGATGAGAAGAAGAACAAAGAGCCAATCTCTCTCTCTCTCTCCATTGACTTTTTTATTCAACGAAAATCATCTTCTTTACAACAAGACATCCACCCTCTTTTTTTTTTTATTGGGAACATTAATTAATTTTCATTGAGATAATGGAGTACAACAAAATGAACACCGAGAAAAAAGGAAAAGGAGAAGGCAGGAAGAAAGAAAAAAGGATAGGAGAAGAAGAAGGGAGAGGTAGGAGGAGAAAAAGAACTCGGCCGCCATGGCCTATTTGTTTAATCTCTTTGTATCTCCATTGTGTTCCTTGTGGATATAAAAAGGAGTACTTCATCCCTTGAAGGCATATAATAATTTTATATATAATAAAGCTAAAAAACCAGGGAGTATAGTCCAAGACTCTACTCGATTTGATCACATTAGAAGAATCCCTTGAATATTCAATTGCAAATGACTAGGTTGTAGTTTTGATACACCCACCCCTTGAATATTCAATTGCAAATGACTAGGTTGTAGTTTTGATACACCCACCTTAAATGCCCAGAACCCTGCATCATTAATATCACATTGATGTGGCCGACCTTGATAAGACTAACTCCATTTGAGTCATGCAAGAGGCCCCTATACCTTGCACTCAATTCTCTAGAACACTTCCATTAAAGTTAAGTTTCATCTATCCTTCAGGGGTTGGTGTCCAGACAGTTGATCACTTAGGGCCTTGCCACTTGAAAAATAATATTTTGTTGAAATGTGTGAAGAAATTATCTTTTGGGATGGCCCTAAAGATTGGAAATGCTTTTGCCCAAGACCTGACATAATACTTTATAACCTGGCATAATTGAGGAACATCTATTTTCCTTCTTTCAAGGTTATGTTGTTTTGTTCCTTCCAAACATTGCATAACACAACTGCTAGCAATATCCTCCATAATGATAAACCATAGGTAGAGAAATTGGGAGATCAACCCTATTGTAGCATCTGGGCAATACATATCGATTGAACCCAGTTCTAATGGGATAAGCCATAGACCTAACCCTATAAATCACTCATAAAAGGATAATGAATAAAAACGTGACCAATTGTCTCCTCGTCATTCTTACAAGACAGACAAATATTAGTGATATTCATTCTCCTCTTGCATAGTTGCTCAATAATAAGGGTCCTTTTATTGTCCAATTGCTACAAAACTGCTCTTAGTCTACTTGGTACCTTACAATTCCAAAATTTATTTACTGTTAAATTGTCCTCAAATAGTTGTCCCTATATATGGGTTCATATAACGATCTCACTATG